TTAAACAGGGAGGCCTGCTGCAAAAAAGTGAAAATATCTATTTTCATTGTCGAATTAAAATTAAGTCTTCATTTCAGCAATGCATGATCTTAGGGGATGCAAATTTATTCTGTAGTGTGTGTGACTGAAATGGCAGGCTATATAGATGGAGTTTTATTACAGAGATTTTCATGTAATGCGCATTAGCCCTATACAAAGGAGCATAAAAAAGTTTCGAGTTTGAAAGGTCATTTTACAAAACAAGGTATTGATTTTCAGGTTTTGTACTGAGATTATTACAGTCGTTTTCAAATTTAAGCTTTTCAAATCGTCAAAGCGGATGAATATCTTCATGCATGGACTATTTTCAACAATAATCCAATGTTAATCTTGCTTGAAATATATTCGAAACTTAGCCTATTTGCATGCATATTGAAATGTATCGTTCAGATGAAAAGCTGACGGGAAGGCAGAATAGCGGTATTAAAGCTGTTACATTGGAAAAGAAGGAAGTAGCGTGGAAATAAGCCGTGACATCGATTTTCCATAATTCCCTGAAGAACTTGATCTTGCGTTATCTTATGAAAATTGTTTCGACGGAAAGCTATGTTATTAATACAAAATCTTCCAAATGCTCAAATATTCCAAAATTATATTTGGATATTTTATATTTATTTAAGGCTTTTTCATAGCATAACTTTATTGTATTTTTCCTATACAGTTTTTCTACCGTGGGGAAACAGTTTAAAACATCCAAATTGCCTCGTCATTGATTGAGATTCCTGCTAATGGTAGATTTTCATTAACTCTCAATAAACCTTTCCCTGGACAACATCCATTAAGTCTATAGAGACATTTGCTTTCATATTGTCACCAAGTAGCGATTGAATTATTGAAGTCGTTTATAACTCGCTATTGAAGAGCTGCTGATGACTTCGCGATTGTTAAATCAATGAATAAAGACGCATAATTTTACCTATTGATCCATTTCCCAGTAGCTATAATATTCTCCTGTGCAAATCAGTATTTGGTCAACATAACTGAAATTTCCGCCAAATAAAGCTTCTCTGTAAACTCGCCACTGTATTGATCTGAAACCCACGCAGAATCCGAGTTTTTCCAGTTTTGCGTTGCCTGGGGAATTTTTCTATAATTTTCTAGGCGAGATGTTGGATACAACAGAGTTGGCAGCTTTTATTAGATTCTCGCCTTTCGGCTTTAATGATGATTCATAGCTCTAGAAAGAAATTAGGGCAGGATAAGATTTGTCTCTCATTTTAGTCTCCATCAGGCAAATTTGTAACAGAATTTAGTCTTGTATAATTACCCAAAAAATGTGTTCTTCAGCAAATTTGAATTCTATAAATGCGTCAGTCTTCTTACATATATCAGGGGCTTGGCGCGAATGGTTGAATCTTGTAATGACATAAAGGAGTTACTTTTTAACTGTTATATGTTTTTTGTGAGATTTATAGACTATAGACTATGTTGATTGACTAAAACGATTGAAATTTTAGTAAAATTTAAAAAATCCCTTTTAAGATAGAAATTTTAATAAGCAATTTAACATATTGATTTATATATAATAAATGATTGTGTTATGTTATAAACTGAAAACTGTTTTTATGTAAAATACAATACAGAAAAAACCTTCCATTGAATTAACTTGATGTTGAAATGTTGTTTCATTTACCAGCCTTGTGTAAAGTTTATAATATGTTGTTGATTGGTTAAATCATTTCTTCTTCATAAAACATTATGTAAATGTTTTCCATCAAGTTTTTTCTCAAGTCTGAATCAATCTATTCTTTATTTGTCCCACAAGTACAATACAGTGTAAACATGTTGCGGTTTTGTTGAAAACCAATATGGCAGACATTCAAATGTGTAGTGATGTGGTTGGGGGCCATCTCAAAGTTTCTTTGTGTAGTTAAGTTGTAGTTTTGGTATCGGCCATTTGTATGTGCTTTGTTTGATAATATTTTAAAACAAATTGTTTCGTTTTGTTTAAAGATTGTTTCATTTTGTTTAAATTAAGCTGAATATTTGTAAAGCTCAGCATTTGTTAGACATGTTTTAATATAATTTCCACTTTGTTGAATGTTTGAAATTTTAAAATAACGTTTTAATAAATATGTTGATTGTATCAAAATTATACCTGAGAGATGAATCAGTAAATGTTGTGGGTTTGCATGGTCATGACTTAAGGTGATTGTATGCATACCATTCCCACATTTAAATTGTTAATGTTGTTATTGTTACTGTTTATTATGATGGCTGTAATTTTGTTTTTTGTTGTTTATAATGGCACTTTGAATAATTCTATATGTTAATTATAATATGAACAAACCATCTTTTTATTATTTCAATGGCATGTTTCCTTTGTGTGTATGACTGTGTTTTAATTTAAGTCATTTTATGAAACTACAGATAAGATCATGTTTATAATTATTATAATAAAATGTATACATATGATATTTAATGTTTTATTAAGTTGAGTTTATTGTAGTTTTAATTTGATATTTATGCTGTCGTTTAACAGCCAGGTATTTTTATCATCAGCTCGATGTACTATTTTGAGTTATGTTATGCCTGAATTTCATAGTCATTCATTAGTTATTTGATTGATCGTTAGAAGATTATAAAATTACCCTTCCTCATGACAGGAAAGAATTGATTGTCCACATTGTTGTATAAATGATCAAGAAAGAAAGAAAAAAATTGATCAGGCATTCCTGGCAATGTTTGTACATCTGTTGCAGGTACATTTGCATACAAATGCATACAAATAATTACGTGATGTGTCATACCTATATATATATTGTTGGATGAAGGAGGGGATTTTACCTCGTTATTTTTGTATCTCCTATTAATGACATTGCAAAGTGTTGTTATTTATCAACGAAATGCCAAAAGAAAATTATATCTAGATGAATGATGTTTTTCTATTTTTAACAATCTCATTATTTTGCAAGGTTGAATTGAAGTGCCTGGGTAAAGCTTCTTTTTTATGCCACCGCAGCATCTGCGATGCGGTGGCATATAGCGATTCACCTGTGTGTGTGTTTGTTTGTGTGTGTGTGTGTTATATAGATTATATAGTGAACTTAAAAAATCTTCTTGTGAAAAACCACTAGTCCAATTTCAACCAAACTTGGCAGGATTGATCCTTGGGTGAAGGCCTTCCAAAGTTGTTCAAAGAATTTCATTCCATGCAGAATTCTGGTTGCCATGGTAACCAAAAGGAATTATAAGAATAAATTTAAAAAATCTTCTTGTAAAGACCCAAAAGGCATAGAGCTTAGATATTTTGCATAAGGCATTGTCTGGTAGACCTCTACCAAGATTGTTCAAATTATAGCCCTGGGGTCCAAATCGGCCCCGCCCCGGGGGTCATTGATTTTCACTATATGTACATATAGTAAAAACTTAAAATACCTTCTTGTCTGAAGGTACCAGGCTTAGAGGTTTGATATTTGGTATGTGTTATTATCTATAGGTACTCTACCAAAGTTGTTCAAAATTTTGCCTCTAGTGTCAAAATTAGCCCTGCCCCGGGGGGTCATAGGTTTTCCTCATATGTATATAGTAAAAACTTAAAAAATCATCTTCTCTAAATTGACAGAGGCTAGAGGTTAGATATTTTGCATGAAACATTGTGTAGTGAAACCTCTAGCAAGATTGAACAAATTATAGCCCTGGGGTCAAAATGGGCCCCGCCCTTGGGGTAATTGATTTTCACTATATTTACATATAATAAAAATTAAAATGCCTTCTAAGGTACAAGGCTGAGAGGTTTGATATTTGGTATATGATATCATCTATAGGTACTCTACCAAAGTTGTTCAAATTTTGCCTCTAGTTTCAAAACTAGCCCTGCCCCGGGGTCATAGGTTTTCTTTACATGTATATAGTAAAAACTTTAAAAAATCACCTTCTCGAATTGACAAAGGCTAGAGGTGAGACATTTTGCAGTAAACATTGTGTAGTGAAACTTTAGCAAGATTATTCAAATTAAAGCCCTTGGGTCAAAAAAAAAAAAAAAATTGTTCCTACATTACTATTTTAGTGTTGTATTTATGCGGTGGCATAGCATTTTTTACAAATGCAATCTTGTTTTTTGTTGAAAGTACATTATAGAATTTATAAAGGTGTAGTTAATTATGTATAATTTTCTTATAATTTAGAACATGGTGTTCACAAAAGTTATTTGAATTTAGGTTTTTGTGCTATACAGAAAAAAAGTGTTTCTTTACTATAATTTTCTTTAAAAAGCTGAAATTTTAGCAAATTACTGTTCATTCAATCAAAACAAAAAGTAATAGCTTTTTTCCACATAAAATTATGCATCTAAAAATAGGGAGAATTGAATTATAAATTGAAAAGAAACTTATTCATGTGTTAAGAAATTGTTAGCTTTTGAAATGTCAAAACACATTATTTCAATTTACATTTGAATTTTTGATTTATTCGCACAAGTTCATTTTTGTTTTCATAAATTGTAATTTGATTTTGATGTTTATTTACATTTAATGGGTTTTTGTTCTATTTTTATACATGAAAACATGATTGTTGATTTTAGAATTTGATGAAATTTTCCTCTCTTTATTTTTTTTCTTCATTATTCTCTTATAGATTTTTATTTGTTTACTTGCTATTGTTTGTTGTGCTGTTAAAAGATGAAAGTGTTATTTTTGCCAGTTTGAGACTTTATATGTGATTTGTTATTAGATATAGACAAAAATAGACAAAATAAGAAAGAAATTATATCAATTTTACTTATTGCATATACACTTTTTGTGTGCTTTTCTTTTGACCATAGATACAGTTTATATCAAAGATATGTGTTTTGTTGCTCAGATTAATATTGCTTGCATATCATCATCATTGACAATGTTATAATGTTATGCATTTTCTTTGATCTGTCTAAAGCTTGCTGAAAAGAATGTATTTGATGGTAAAGTTGAATCAAAAGTTACTTTAATAATTTATTTATTGTTAGTTTATTTATATATTTTCAGATTTGAAGAGGAAGCCGATGGTTTTGATGTTTATTACGGAACTACTCCAACATATAGCGAACCGTCATATCCTAGTCCTTCATTTGCTGAACGTGGTCGACCACGAGAACGATGGCCGGCAGGTGCCCCTTTTCCTGGGTAAATATCTTTGCTGTTTTTATTTCCTACTCTTTTTCTTTCCATTTTTTGGTTGAAGAGTTGTTGTTTTTTTTCTCCAATTTTTTCCCCTGTGCATATTTGAAATTAAAATATTTGAATGCAGATACAACTGCATGTGTTTGAATGACAAAAAAGTTCTCCTTTTGAATTTATACTAACTGAAAAAAAAAAATTGAAAAAAATTGACATTTATTTTCTTTGCCGTGTACATAGTACATCTCGACACCCTTGTCTGCGTTACAAATGAAAAATAGAAATAAGAAATGACATGTCCTGTTATGATTGTTTTCAATTCGAATATTTTACAGGGGTCACTCAAATGCTTGATTTTCTTTTTTAGTCTGCTTCTTTGTCAAAAATTTTAAATTCAAAATTTATGATTGAATAAATAGTGATACTAGAAACTTTTAGAAATTAACTTTTATGTTGAAATGCTACCTGGTTAAGAGAAAAGAGTTGACTAAAAATAAATTAGTCAAATTAACGAACTTGAATTCACTAATTCGGTAGTTTCTCAGTTAGTGAAAAGGGTTGAAGAATGAATTGAGTTTGTAGAGGAAATGAACACAAAGGTTTTTATTCAAAAGAAAAGTGAATTATTTAGAAGCACATTAAATTTGTGAGAGAATAATTAATAGGGCTTTTGTACTGGAAACTTAAGATTTTTTATTTTTTTCCCATATTTGAAAGTTTCCTTTTGTAGACGTGGGGCTAAATGGACACCAGGGACTTCTAGGCAATTTTCCGACTCTTCCAGTAAAGATGGATTTGAAAAACCAAAATCTGCAACCGCGTCAATTCCAGCTTCATCGCCTGCCTCGCACACTAGTAGTAAGCGAAGTAGGAGAAAGAAGAAACATTCAAAGTCTATAGAAAGGTCAAGGTCAAGATCGAGCGGGTCAAACAGTAGCAGAAGTAGCTCATCTGACAGTGAAAGTGGCTCACAAAGGTTTGTATTATAATGTATGCTCGAGAAATGAAAAACCTTGTATAAATATATATTAGTTATACCTATGCAAATAAAATAAATGAAGAATTTACTCAAATCACTGGTGTGGATGATGGTCAAAATTTGAATTGAAAATTTGATTGAATTATATAGATAAGTTACATAAGATCAGTAAGTTTTTATAAAGATCAAGTTTACGTTGTTGCCAGTTTGATGCTTTTAAAGTTTTCGTAATTCTCGTGTTTTACAGAAAGAAAAAGCAAGCAAAAATAAATGGATGTAAATTGCTTGATATCATCTCCATTTTCCCCGCCATTTTATAATTGAGAGCATGGGTTTTGCCTGTTTGGAGTAAAAGTTTTTTGCAGGATGTTTATCCTATTATGTTTTGAGATGTGAATGAGATTAGCAATAAAATGCACAACCTAAAAGCAAGAATTATTGGAGGCTCATGCAGGGAAAAAAACCATATTTCCTGCACCTTGCGTTATAGAAATAACTGTAGTAAATTGTTATAATTTGTTTATGTGAATTCTCACTTTCTTATGATTGATATTTATCCTTTGTATCAGTTTTGTGTGCGGTGAATTATTTTGCATTTTGTTCTCCTCACCCATTAAACGTGGAATGAGAGTGTCACAGGCTTTTTAGTGTGCTCTAGAATTAGTAAATGTTTGATCGATTAACTTTAGCCTGTAGCATGTTGAAGGCATTGAGAATCGTGAAATGATTCCAAGAGATGCGTTGTAGAAAAAAAAAGAATCTGAAAAAATATCTGTTAAGAGGAGAGATTGAATAAGCTTCATTATTTCACCTTCTTTTATAATGTTCAGAATGAATGTTGTCGTTTCTTGACTGTTTGCGTGCATTAAGGAGTTAAGATTTATAATACAGGAAAGGTTTTAAGCAGCATGGCAAAATGATAAAGAAGGAAAAATTCTCTATCGAGTTTCATATTTCTTGACGTTCATGAAAACTGAAGCTTGTTTTGTCAAACAAAGTAAAACGTGGTTATGTTTCCTTTTATTTGCGATTAATGATGATGTGTAAGGATTGATTATTGAGCCGTGGCGGAAGTTTGTCTGTTTATGTCATTGACACTTTGAACAAAACGAGGTTTATTCTATTTATAGCAGCAGCAAAGAGCGAACTAAGTCAACTCTGTCCTCCATGGTGGCGAAGTCAGAAGCGCAAGTTTCTGCAAGCAGGGAGGTCGAAATAGAACCTGGGGAGCGAGAACCATTAGGAATACTTATAAAAAGACTTCCGCTTAGATCCAGTGGTATGTATTTATTTTTTCCTCGTGTTTTGTTTTTCTTCCTTGCTTGTAAATTAAGGTTTCCTTTTAGCAAGCAAGAGTGCTTCTCAATTGCGTTTCACCAAGTATTGAACATGATTTTCTGAAAGCTTGCATTTTGTTCATTATTGAAATATAGATTTTAAAATAATTGTTGATTTGGTTCACATGGAATATGATATTTGAGATATTCATTGAATTATTCAAATCGAAAAAAAAAATGGTCTAGCTTTGAAAATGGAGATATTGATCAGTAAATGAAATTGATAAGCAAGTATTCACTATGTGTTATGTATTCGTTATTGGGAGATTTGGTGCAATTTTAAAAAGCGGATTTCTTTTCTTTTCATACCGGATAACTGGTGTTGACAAGTTTTATTCAGTTGAAAAAATGTACAAAGCAATACAAAAAATTCAAATGTGAATTCGGATAGATAAATAGATAAATAATTACAGTCATTTGATGAAATAGTGTTTCACATTCTGACGAAAATTGCAAGGTTGGGTGGTTAAATAGGTGTTATTTGCCAAGGTCTGTATGCCTATAAACTGCTTTTATAATGTGGGAAAATAATTTTACCTTACAGCTACTTAAACGATTGGGACTGTGAGAAACATTTTAGAAATATACTTGTTGCATCTCATTTCACATTAAAGTTAATCTCGTTTAAGTTAATCTTGCAGTATTTTGTTGTTTCTTTTACGACAACATGTATGAAAATGTCATTTACCTCAGTTTTAACTTGGAACATTTTCATTGGAAGTCCACCAAAAAGTGAATTTAAAGTTGTTGTTTTTTTTAAATTATCAAAAATATGAAGATGGAATACATAGGTGGTGTTGTTCATTTTGTTACAAATTTGTTGCTTTTCATCAAATCTAGAATGACATAGCCCTCAGAGATAATGTCAATATCTAAGGTCATTCAAACCTTGAGCCTGCTGGCGTGAACTAATATTACCCATGCAACCAGTGCAGACCAAAATTAGCGCACATTTTTGTGACCTGATCGTGGTCTGCAATGTTGGCTATATAGTCAGTACATTTTCATGCTTTAACATTTTCACTAAAAACGATGAAGGGTTTTGTCCAGATTAAAAAGATTGACAGTGTAAGCATAGTAAGGGCTAAACAGTTAAGATTAGAAAGATTGAACTTTCAGCCTTGTAAAATGAAAAAAAAAGGGCAATGTTTTAGTTTTAGGCACAGAAATTTCTATTTCTCAAAAGTGATCCTGAATAAGCTGATCTAGGTTGTATTTTCTAGAGATATGACATGGCTTTCGGTTGGTTAAGGTATAAATCTACTACACCCTCAAGGTGTGGTGGGTGATCATTTATACCCCTGAGAGGTGGCCAATTTCTGGTTACAGTGGCTGGGTACAGGGCATAATTATCTTTATAAATTTTACAGCATGATAGGTTTAAGGAATGTGGATTTAATGGGTTGGCTGTAACCTGATAGGAAGTTTTGTCCTATGTGAAACAGTATATTTAAAGGCAGGTAGATTTAGATGATAAATTGTGGGGTTTTTATATATGTTGATTTTTTTTTACTTGGAGAATGTGTGGGAAAGTCAATTTCTGATGTGCATTGTAAAAATGTGGCAAAAACTAGTTCAGTGGTGCATTTAATTTATCACAGAATTTTTTTATTATATATTTGTATATTGATATATATACGGATGAAAAAGTCAAGTGTTGTTGATGTTGTTATGTGACTGGTATCTGTTTATAAGGAAATATTGACAGTATTGGTTAGTGTGTGAATTAGTTCCATTTTGCCTGGATCTCCAATTAAATGTGACCAATGTAGCTGTGGTGGAATGTTTTTTTTCCCTGGAAGCTCTGTAAAGGCTATGAATAATGCATTGAACTGCTTCGTTTGCAGACCTCGCGAATCAATAATGACCATACTGGTGGAATGGTTTGGCGAAGCGTAATTTCTTTTTTTTCTGTGGAGAATAAATCGTATATAGACAATCTCTGGGGAATATCGGTGATTGCGCCACAAAATAGATGTATGTTCCTCATTCCTGGAAAATCTCGTTAGATTTTCTATCCTATTAAAAAGTTGGCTGATCTTGTCAGACTTGCGTTTCCGAGGGGACATAATTTACGTGGGAATAATACAATTCTAGTCCTATCAAAACTGTACCGGATTATGTTTAATCCGTTCCATATAAACATGTCCAAATTTTCTGTTCGATGGTTTCAGCAAAAAAATAGAGATTTTTTTTTCAAGTTTCGTTCTTGCAGAGATTTTGTTTAACAAAGTTTAGATGATCATTATAAAATTCATTATATTGTTATATTGAAATGAATAGAAGTTCTAGAAAAATTGATGATATAGATGATTTAGAATGAAAAAAAATTTAGAATGAAAAAGAAAATGATATTAAGGTACACTTTTATGCTACTGATTTTCTTTTAAATTTATCTGATATCCGAACTAAAATTGATTATATTATTACAGTGGCCGTGTTGTATGATATGGATATTATTCCCAAGATTCCATCTATCTTTTTGTTTACTTATCTCATTTTCTCTACGATCATGAATTTATGGCCACGTTGTTATTTAAGTTTATAAAGCTATCATGTTACATTCTGCCTGCCTCATGATTCCATATAAAGCATTTCTCGGAAAGGCTGACTTTAGTAGCTCCATTTTATTGGCAGAATTCATCTGTCTCAGATAGTCTTAATGATGAACTGATTTCTAATTTTATGGCTAATTAGCTTAGAGGTAAGAGTTGAAAAGTTCAAGGATATTACATGTTGTTGTTATTTACGTTTTATCTACATTATTCAAAGAATGATGGATCATAGAACCTTTTTCCCTTTGATTGAAGGTCTGTGAAAGATAATGGATAGTATGAAGAAGGTGAAAATTACTGAATATGACTTTATTGTTAGCTATCTCTTATGTTTTGGGAAATTTTATGTCAGTGTTTTTTCTCAATTATTCAGAAGCGGCCTTAGCCTCTTGATTATTGGGAAAGTAATCTCTAAAATTGCTTTTATAGGGCTCTGTTATATAATGTGAAAAATCACTGTATGTACAATTTATTTCAAGTTGTGGCTTAAGCACATAGTGTCTTTCCCTTCATTATTGTAACAGTATTTATTGCAAGTTAAACCTTTAAACTGCTAAATTCCTTAAATGGTCATGCCCAGCTTCCATGTTTGGAACTGTCCATTAACAATTGTGGGGATATCAAGAGAGAAACATGAAGTAAGTCAGTTAACAGTATAGTGTCTGAACCAGTCTGGCCTGGCTCTAACTGGTGGCAAAGGCCGATAACTTTTCGGTTCCGGTTAAACGATGTAATTTGCTCCGCGTTTTATTGATTTTTCCTCAGCAATGTAACTTATGTAAGAGGTAATACTTAGCTAATAAAGTGACAGTACCAGGCCCTTGTCATTCAAATCTGAGATGGTAAAAGTGGCAATCTGTGTTCACGATTGCTAGACTGTATGCTGTGCTTTATTAAGTCTTAAGTAAAGGCTTCCGCCTAGTTTTACTACTTTCATTTTTAACGTTTCTTTGAATAAGTGTTTGTCAGGTAAGGACTGGAATTTTGGAGAATCTATTTTTATGAAACCAGTTGGATTATATAATAATTATATGATTATAATTCAGATTTTTCTTTTTTCGTAATCTTTATGTAATGAGTCCAAGACAGTGCTTTCATTATTATAAGTTAGTGGATTTGTAAAGTTATGTTTTTTTTTATATGAATCATTTTTACAGTTCTTTAGACCTTTAGTTAACAATAACTGTCTTATGATCTCAAGTCGTCTTTATACATGAATTTCATTTCTTATATTCTTCCTGAATGAAATAAGAACAAAAAACATGGTACACTTACACACTTGTATCAACCAGCAGGAAATGAACTTTATTATTGTTGTTAAAATACAAACAATGAGTGGAGACTGTAGATGTAATAAAAGGAAATGTGGTTACAAATAGGAGTAAACAAGGAAATTTTCCTGTTTTGTGAAGTCATATTTTGTCATAATTTGTACGGAGTTAGACATTGTACATATTGAAGAGATAAAAAGTTTTCAGTCATAGTCTTCTGCAGTTGGAATAGTCACTGTTTGAATTTAAGAACAGATTCTGCAGTTGTGGTAATTATTATGGAAATCTGTACAGCTGAATGAAAATTGTGAAAATATTATTGCGCGATTATTTTCTTTTGCAAGGAAATTTTGTATCTTCAATAGTGATGATAATTTTAGTGATAATTTGGTTGCCTTGTTACTGATTTTAGACGACGTAATTGTATAAGTGATAATTTGGTTGGTAGGTAACTGGACGTTATGATGGAAATTTATAACAGCGATAATTTGGTTGCTTGGTAACTGATATTGATTATGATAATTATGATATCCTGATGCGTTGAAAGTTATTTAACTAAATTGTGTTCTATGTAACTATTGAGCGAATATCTGAATTTTGTTGTGCAGTGTAATGTAGCATTCAAGTTTGTTGGGCGATGTTAGAGTTATGACCATCGCTACTGTATTTGTCAATATTATGTCGAGCAAAGAAACCTGAAAGACGCTGCTGGCAGGTTTTGATAAGGTTGCATTAATTTTGTAGCACATATTTATTTGAGACAGTTGCAACGAGAACGAGGAAAATTCTCATTGCCTTATATATACAAACAGTGTGGGTAGATCTTTCCTGTCCGCAAAAACCAGAGGTTTCTCTGACGAGAGTCGTCAAGTTTTCCTTTCTAATAATGTGAAGTTCTTATTGGTAGTTCAATTTTGAATTGTTTCTTGGAGATTCATTACAGTGTATGATACGTCGGTTAACCAGCTTTGTCCATTTCCAGTTTTACAAGGAAGTGCTTTAAAACTTTATATTATCATTTGATGACTGATAATGCATCTCCGGAAATTGTAATGCTGGACCTCCAAAGAAAAAATGTACAAGGTTTCAAGTTTTGTAGCTTTGAAAAAAAATTATTCTTTTGTGTTTAGTTAAAATGGTTGTAATTTTGTTTTATACGATTTAGCTTGACTATGAAGGAATTTATAAGCTAAATTAGCTTACAGAATTGTGCCTTTGAAGAATACGTCATGGAATAATTTTTATGTTTGTATAAATTAATATGATGTTCATTTGTCTCATTGCAGATACAAGCTTGAGGGATGGTCTGTTCCATGAGTACAAAAAGTACGGTAAAATAACTGCTGTCCAAGTATCAGGGGTCAACGAAACAAGATATGCCATTATTAGTTTTAAACAGTAAGTTAAATGTTGATGTTTATAATTAAATTTAAGATTAAAAAAAAAATATATATCATTCACTATAACAGAAAGTATTCTGTTACCTCAAATTTTGCATGGAGTACTCTCAATTGCAGTAAACAAAAGGCATCTTTCCATTCTATTTGTTTATATGGGATATAAAAAAAATATTCAAAATATTACTGGGAAAGACCATATGAAACAGAGCAATCTATGTTTAGATGGGGAATGATTTGAGAATAGGATCCAAACCCCTTTGATTACAGGAAAAACATACATTCTTTCTTTTGCATATACAATGAAATAAAAAATGTTAAAAGTACTGTAAACATTTTTTTTAAGGAATTGAAATTATCTTTGGAGAGGCCTGAGGCAGATGGCCAATAAATCGAACTATGTCTTAAACCTGAAGACAAGCCGTCACCAAGTTGCAAAATATGCATTTTCTTTTTCAGAGCGGAAGATGCACAAAAAGCTTTGGAAGCGTCACGAGAAAAGCGTTTCTTTGGTTCTCAAATTATTGCCGAGCAACACGAGGGCTTAGGTATGCTTCTTTAATATTTTTTTAGATCTGCGGCCATTTTTACTTTGTTTGAAGGCAATTCTCAAAGTGTGTTGTTTAGGTCATTCTTCTGAACATGGATGCAGTCTGGTATTAAGGGATTCTTTTGTTACTGTCGAAATTGTTTTTGTAGTTATGCCAAAATAAAAATAAAACAAGTCTGCTAAGGCCTTAATGAAAGCAATTGTCAGCTATTTCTGACCAAAACCATAAATCCTACTTGTCAGAAATGTTACTTTGAAATGATACAAAAATAATGAATGTGCGTGTGTGTCTGACAGAAAAGAATGAGGCTAGAAATTTACGTACTTACAAACCCAGCAATTTAAGTATTATTTGTCAGTGGCAAACAAACAATTTTTCAAGTATGCCCTAAGCTTCAGTAACCTTCTATCCTAGAAATGACACGTAGGGTATTATAATAGGAAATCTATCGTTAATATTATTTTTGGGATATAGATTTTCTGTCCAGAACATTGTCAACTTGTCACAATGTCTATGCAAAGTGCGAACATTTTCACACAAAATGCTAGTCCGCGCTAATAAACGTATCCAGTTGTCATAGAAACCGTTTCTCTCCATTTTCAGTTTAGTATTGTGATGTGCCTGACAGTATTTTTGTTTGTTTGTTACTCAATTTTTTCTTCTCATGTTCGGTAAGAGATTGGTAGGAAGATCCTTAGAAACAAGTTCATTAGTTACAAACTATTGATCTGCTATCGAAAGCCAGTGTTACAAGTGTAGAACTTTGTGAATCCAGTATACAGTATGTGTCTTTGACAACGGCAAAATAACTTGGATACAGTATATGTGATAAGTTTTTAGTATTCATTTCGACTCTTGAGATATTACTGTTATTTTGGGACTATATTATACATTGTAAGACTTTTTCTGCTCGTTAATGATCAAGAGATTTATCAAGAAGTGGAGTGAAGTTGAAAAGGTTGGAATGTTCTTGGATATAGAGCAGTTTCATTGTGATGTTGTTTGGAAGGTTTCTGATTTTTCTTTTTTTATTTATTGGATATTGAAAATAATTGGAGATAAGAGAAATAATGGAGATATAGAGTAGAGAATAGCAAAGAAAGTTGTTTGGTTTTGGAGGGATATTGGTTGTTTAGGAAAGAAAGATATACATGTATTATGTTGATGTATGCTTACAAGTTGGTGATTCCAACAGATAAAATGATTGGTTTGAATTTGAAATGAAATTTACCAAGTATTCAGCATTTGTGTTTTTAGAGATTTTAAATTAAAATTTAGATTTAGTCTATTTCAAAATCTTTATTTGTATGAAAAAGGAAAATATCATTGTATATTTCCAGAAACTAGACAAACTTCAAAGGCCTGTTTAATATTTTGTTGGTAGAAGGAGTGTAATTATAATTCATATATTAAAAAAAAATGTTGATTAATTATTGTAATTCCAAAAGCAAAATTTGAGGAAAAAACATTTTCAATTAGCAATGTGTAAAGTAAGAAAACCTGTTTGATTTTCTATTTCCAGAAGCAGAAGATGGTGATTTCTTAACTCCAGAAGCACAACTAGATGAACACTCCCCTAAAGCCACCAGAACACTTTTCCTTGGTAATTTGGACAAAGAAATTTCTATAGAGGAACTAAAAGAAAAACTGGAAAAATATGGTGACATCTTGGTAAGGAAGTAAATCAAATATTCATATTGACATATTTTCAGTTCTCATAGTTGAAAGATAAAAGTTACGGTTAGATGTTTAGTCTCAACAATATCTTCTACGTACATTTTTTTGACAACTTTATCTTGCCTTGGCAAACATTTTGTTATTATTAAAAAAATGTATAAAGATTTTTAATTCATTTTCTTTGCATACATGATGTATTGTGATAAGATATGTTGTATATCTTTAAACACAATTCTATATATATGTTTTATTATACAGGATGTTGATGTAAAAAGACAAGGTGCTGTTACTGCCTACGCATTTATACAATTTACAGACATTACTAGTGTTGTAAAAGCCCTTAAAGATCTTGATGGGACCACATGGGGTTCTACAAAGCTCAAAGTAAGTAACGCTCTCGATAAAAAATGTATGTACGATAAAACAATACAAACTGAAACATTTTGTGATTCATAACTCGAGTTTTTTTTTTAAACGCGAGAGTTTCAGTGAAACATTTTGGCAACAAAAGATTCTCGCTGCTGGAAGCATCAAAAAAATTTTTTTAAGAATTCACGCTCAATTTAGAAAAATAAGGATAAATTTTTATTTTATTTTTGGTAACTTACCTGTGTGAAATATTTATGTAACCCGAAACTGAAACATGTGTTGAAACAGAGAAAATTTTAAAAAGAAAAAAGCAATGGGTCTTACTTGTGACTTAAAAAGTTTGAGGTTTTATTTAGGTTTTCTTTATCGTTCGTCCGTCCATATTAAAATCTTATTGCCTAATTGCACTGTGACTGATATATATATTAATAAATGTCTGTTGATATGGAAATACATGTATGCCTAATAAAGATCATCATATCTTGTTAACTATCTATTAATAGTGCCATTAAAATGATTGTTTGAGCCATTATTTCACTTTGCAAAAGTCTTGTATAATTTTAGTTGATTACACATTTAAAAGGGAAAATAAAATCTCTTAAGTATATAGGAATAAGTAAGTATCTAACTTTCTATACTAAGCAATTACGACCTCTTAGCAACACAATTTTCCTCTATTCGTCTGCTTTTTTATGACGCTATTATTTACTGACGCCTTATAGGTTTCAATATTTTTTGTTGTTGTTCCATATTTTTTTGCTATTGACTTTATTGGAGAAAATTAATTTTTTGATAAATAACCCAATTATCTGACTTGTTTTCTTTATTGAGGGAATTGGAATGTGAGTTTTTAAAGACAGCAATTATAACAGCAATTCTGTTTCTTATTGATCTAGAATTAACAAGCTCTTGCATATTTTCCAACCAGTTATATCCAGTTTTCTTTTGATTTCTAATGACATGTATTGGAAAATTGTATTTTTCTCTGTAAAAGAAACATGTATACGAAGCAATGCAATCTGTAATATATTCATTTTATTAAAACCTTTATGTAAATGACCGATTTTGTTTTACTGCTAGGTTCTTTAGGAATATAAAATGTAGTTTGTCACTCTTGGTGTTTACTTGTGTGCTAACAGTGACATTTTTCAATAACTGGCTGTATCTAAGACAGGATAGTTGGAAGGGTTTTTCGAATATTTTTTGTTTGAGGCCTTGTATATTAAATAAATGATGTATATGAGGTCTCATATAAACATATATACATGTAAAATTGTTTAGTTGTTTAGGATTGTTTGATTAGCAAATAACAGAAATATTGTTAACATTACCATGGGAACAAGGAAAAACAAACATGTATACTGATTTCCTGGTCATTTTCAATTAGATCTAGTTCTATATCTATTATTTGATATACAGTATTTGGTCTTAAAGAAAAAGATTCACTTCAAACTTTTGCATACGATTAATACCCATATGTAGAAAAATGTTGTTTTTGCATCTATTATCAGTTCTTTATTTAATATTTGAGGCCTCAATAATTCCATGTTTTAAAAAAAAGCAAAATACATTGTGTATCTGGTGAAACAAAAATGATGAGCTTTGCCACTAGAATAAGGCCAGCTAGCCTGTACAATCATGTAGTCTGACCAGGCTCTGTAATGTTGAACTACTTTATTGAGATTTTCATTTGATGTCCTCAAATTGATAATTGACAGTTCCAACATTGGAGGCTGGATAAGTGTATGTTATATAAGAAATTCAGCAGGCTAAAGGTCTAGAATTTATAAATTTACATGCATACTGCCTGTACAGCCTTGTACACTTTGTCCAATATTGTTCAACCCAAATCCTATCCATCCAGTATCCCACAACCCCCATTCAAAGAAGGAATTAAAAAGAGAATAGCTATAGTTTTCTGACAGGTAAAGCCTTTAATTTTCAGGCTTGATATATATATTATGGTCATGAACTTTGTGTTTACTTGTAAATTTTATTTAACACTACTGAAAGATAAGGGAATACTAGTCTGAACATGTACTGGAAAATGGACAAACTGTGTCGTAAAATCCCCATTAATGAGATTAAAATGGAATTCAAGATAAACCATTCCCTTGACAATTTTGGGAATTCCTGTGCCAAACAGGGTTTAGATAAATATCAAGGATAAGAAGGTCACACCAAGTTGTCCTAGTTTTCAGAACCCCTTTTGTTTTTGAGACCTCATTTATTTCAACTCAAAATCAAAGCAAACTTTTTCATGTAAATTATGCAATATGGTTTATTTTAAGCAATTTTTATACTTATTAATGTTGTCGATGGAAAATATAACAAAATGATGGAATATATTCAACTAAGTGCATTTTAATGATTAGAGCCTTAAGAGAGCAAGAGCTTTATTACATGACAACCACTCAATGGTATAACTCGTAGTTGAAGTCTAAATTGACCATGCGTTGGTACATTTGGATATGTTGACTTATTTTTCTGCCACAAAAGAAACAAAGGGGTTGAGGGATTGAATGTAAATTGTTCACTTCCTATTTCCGTCACTTGTATATCAGTGCTTATTCTTTAATATTTTTAGGTTGGCTTTGGTAAAAGCATGGCAACACCAGTGGTATGGTTAGGAAATCTTGCGGACACTGTACACGAGAGTTTCCTCTGTAAACAGTTTGCTAGGTTCGGAGCGCTAAGTCACACAGTTGTGGATCGAGAGAACCACAAAGGGCTCGTGTTTTTCATGAACGTGGAAAGTGCTCAGTACGCACTTCCAGAAATGCGTAACAGGATTTGGAATGGCAAGAAAATACATGTAAGTCGCCTTCAAGTGGTATTTTGTATTTGTGTATTTGCTTATACATATTTTCAGTAACAAATGAAGTCATAAGAAATAGATGCGAACAAACCTTTGTCCTTAATTGAACTTATAATGGTGGCCAAATCACAGAATGGAGCATATTTCTCTTCAATATTTATTGGTTTCTTTTTCTTAGATTACTATTTTTGTTAGACAATTTTTAGCACATACATGTGGAGCATTAGGTTTTGCTTCAATGATGGTTTGTTTGTTTTATGAGTGCAAACCTCAAGAGGCTTTTCCTTGGTGATGACAGATGATACAGTTTTAAAACACTGATTCTGATGAATTATTCATCACTGTTTATTGTGTCATAGTACTCTATCTTGAATACGGAAGTAAAATATTTGTATTCATAAACTTTCATGAAATGCTGAATAATTAATTGTTACTCTTTGTTCAAGCATATTTGGTTACTGCATTTTATTCATTATTCAGCATTAATTTGTATGTACATTTCTGACTTCCGAAAGATGAAATTAGTAATGATCTGCCATCTAGATAATATGTTATGTATGAATGACTGTCTATTGTTATTTATGTAATATTTTATAATAGTTAAATGTAGGCGCACAAATAGAAGAAATTTAATGCTATTATGGACTTTGTTTCTGTCATTTGATTTAACAATAGTAATGCATAGTGATAAGATATGTACATTCGAAATCAAATGTTTTCACTCTACTTTGTGATTGGCTCAAATATCTGCAATTGATGCTTTTCTGTTTGTTCATTATTTTCTCTTATGCATTGTATGGAAAAGTGAATAAGGATAATACACTATAAAAATGTATCAGTCAGACCTGTGTTGTACATTAATTTTGTTTCTCGTTCTCAGATTGATTACGCGAGTCGAGACTGCCAGGAAATGTTTTACAAGAAAATGGAGCAAACTGGCCAGTTACGGCCTGGTGAGCGCCCAGATGCTAGATCCATGCAGAAGAAAATAGCAGAAAATCCACACTGGGATGATGGAGGGTATGTATATTTTATACTCTGAATGCTGATGGTTAAATTCACATCTAAGTTTACTGTACTGTTTCTTAACCATTTTGTTGATTGCTTGTCAGCTTTCATACAATATAATTCATATAAATATTGCCAATACAGTTTTTATTGGCCTTAGAACTTATTCTCCATTTCTAATATTCATAAAAGTTATTTAATATCTAATAGGTATTAAATAACTTTTATAAATATTAGGAATGGAGAATAACTGATTGGAGTACATTTTAAATGTCATACCCTACATGTACTTTATGAAAATGTGGGAAAGTACTTTTATAAATAAGACATTTGAAATGAAAATTTTCATTTTCAACTTTTCCATGTAAATGCAATATTTTAAATATCATTCTTTTAATGTGATAGTACATGATATGAAAAAAAAACTGGTAATGTATATAGGAAACCTATCCTATGTATTCGCATGGGTAATTTACAGAATAATATTACTGGCCAGGAAATGGTACTCCTAATTTCTTATTTCAATTGAAGAAAGGGATGAACTTGCTGATAACACTTTGTTATAACTTGGTAAACATGTTTATCATTTACTTGATAAAATAGGTTGGGTTTTTTTTCGGGGTGGGGGGAGGGGGTTGATTTCAATATGTTAAAGAACATGTAATATATATGTAAGATATTAAGATAACAAAAATAGTTTGTATCTCTTGATATTTCACACATTCAAATGTATTTGATAATTTTTAAAAAAGAAATATCGTCTTAATGATGTATTTTATTTATATAAATGTTTTCTATTTGCAGATTTGATCCAAATTTCAAGAGAGGGGGCTTCACTCAGTTTGGACGTGGGCGTGGTAGATTTCAGAGAGGAAGGGGCTTTTTCAGGGGCCGAGGAGGAGGACCAGTGTTTGAAGGTCCTTATCCACCTGATGAATTTGCCATGCGTAGAAAGTAAGTTTTCATAATGCTTTCTTAGATTTATTCAACTTTAAATGTAATGTTTTTTAACCCTTTACCTGGTAAATTTCTTAAATAGACATGACCATAAACTGTTGTCAATTTTAAGGGATATCAATATGAAATTTTGTATTTAGTCAGCCATCATTTCAGAGTCTAGTGATACTGCGCAGACTGTCCCTATACTGGTGGCAAAAGCTAATCACTTATATTTCCAGCAGTTTTTGATGAGTACTTTTCAGCAAGGGGTAATTCAATACAGTTGATACAGGATCATGTAATCTCTGTTACATCACTGAAACTTGATGCATCCCTCATTTTGATAATTGCACAGTACTCTTTATCAACTGCTTTAATCATCAGAAAATGGATACAGGTTTTATTTCTAACAAGCAGCAAAATACTCTGTTGATAATAATTTGCCCATGCACACAACATTGCAATCTTCCTAAGGGTTTCGGGAGTTAATTTAATAGCATGTTAGGTAACGGGGATTATATTTGCTAATAAATCATATAGTGACCAACTTTAGGGAAAATGATCAACATTTTGTTTTGGAGTGTGTTGGGAAATTCTTTGGAGTTTTGTTACACCTTTATCTGTGAATACTTTCCTTTTTAGCTCGACTTTTCTATGAAAAGGGGAGCTATCCTACTCGCCCCGGCGTCGGCGTCGGCGTCACACCTTGGTTAAGTTTTTCGTACCACCCCACTTTATTTCAGAAGTATTACAAGTATGGCTTTGAAACTTACCATACTTGTTCACCATCATAACCTCCATCTACAGACAAGAGTACATAACTCTGTCAAGGTTTTTGACAGAATTATGGCCCTTTTTTGACTTAGAAAGTGTATTGAGCTTGGTTAAGTTTTTTGTACCACCTCACTTTATTTCAAAACCATTGGAGGTATTGCTTTGAAACTGACCATACTTGTTTACCATCACGACCTTCATCAACAGACAAGAGGACATAACTCTGTCAAGGTTTTTGACAGAATTATGGCCCTTTTTTGACTTAGAAAGTGTATTGAGCTTGGTTAAGTTTTTTGTACCACCTCACTTTATTTCAAAACCATTGGAGGTATTGCTTTGAAACTGACCATACTTGTTTACCATCACGACCTTCATCAACAGACAAGAGGACATAACTCTGTCAAGGTTTTTGACAGAATTATGCCCCTTTTTGACTTAGAAAATACATTGAATATGGGTAAAATCCACTTATTGCCTTAACCCTTTGAGATATTGCTTTGAAACTTTTAATGCTATTTCACATCATTACCCCCATCTGTACGCAAGAGAAGGTAACTCTGTCAAGGATTTGTTTTAAAAATTAAGGCCTTTTATCGACTTAGAATCTTGGTTAAGTTTTTAGTACCAGTCCACTTTTTGACTGAACTGTTTGAGATATTAATTTGAAAGTTGGAATACTTGTTTACAATCATGATTCCCAAACATGTCCAGGAGAAGGTAATTCTGTCAAAGATTTTATTTGAATTATGGCCCTTAACTGTCAATGTTTTGTATTATAGGCAAGCACTAAAAAACTTAAAAAATCTAAAAAAATTCATTCCTATCCACTGAACCTGCAGTGTTCAAGGGTATCACACAATTCAGTAAAATAATTCTTCACTAAATATCTTAATGCTCATGGCCATTGTTCACTTTAAAAATACAGAGATTCTTGTATTGCCTTTTACTGCAAAAACTTTTTTTATTGGCAAGCAATAAAAAAGTCGAGCGCGCTGTCTTACGGACAGCTCTTGTTACCAATGTAATCAGTATCTTATAAGTTCTCTTTGCTTTTCAGACAATTTGATGAGTACAGTCAGGGTAGTGGCCAGTACGTGGAGGATGATTATGAAGCTGCTCTTCGTGAATACGGTCATAGTCAAAGGGAGCGGCATGAACGGGCTAGTCAGAGTCCACCAGGATATGATGAAGTTTACTATGAACGCACCACCACACAGAGTGGACATGACTTTGATCCATATGATAAACACAGATTCGCTTCTTATAGGAGTTTAAGTCCCGGAAGTGATCGTGAAATGGAGATACCGGATGAAGAATTTACTCGGTTTAAAGCTCGAACTCCTAGTGATGAACGATACTACTATAAAGAAAAATTTTATGATGAAGCGCGATCTCGTGATCGTTCACACAGCAGTGATAGTGAACAGCGTTACAGACTGTCTTCGGAAGTGGTGCGAAGGCGAAGTAGGAGCCGGTCTCCTACTTTGTCAAAATTGAAAAGAACCAAAGAATTACCCATATCATACAGATCTCATTCCCCACCCACTCCAACTGAGGAAGAAGGTTATTACCACAGTGATAACAGCCCAACAGACTTTGATAGTGCTTATAGAAAATATGGGGATTATAAGAAAAGACCAAGTTCAAGTAGTGTTGAGGGTGATAGAAAAAGTAGTATTCTCATGAATACAGGACTACGTAAAGAAATTGAATCTAAAACTGAAGAACGCTCTTCTCGTAAAAGATCATATGATCAGCTGTCCCCGAAGCGTTCTGACTCGTTGCATAGAATAGAAAGGCAGCATAGTAGAGGCAGTAGGGCAGACTCATTATATGAATATGAACGTGAAAAACTTTCTGCGAAGGAACTTATTTCAAAAGTTCATCGGTTACGTTCGGAAGTAAATGAACGATTAGGTGTTAAAGATAGTCCAAGTTCAAGTTCTAATAGTGAAATCGATCCTGCAACAATGACAGAAGCGGATTTAATAAAATTACATCGTGAGAAACAAAAATTGTTACAAAAATTAACGTTAATAGAGGATAGCACAAACTTAAGTGAAAATGAGAGTGATTCACGGCATGGATCTAGTAAGAAAGCGCGTTTGGATTTAAAATACTTACAAAAGGCAGATTCACTGACTAAACAGGAGTTAAAAGAAAAACTGAAACATTTAGACGAGACTCAGAGCTATCGAAAACAAATGGATGCTCTTAGAAAGAAAGAACACCTCAGGGATTATAAGAAATCTAAATCAGCTAGTGATGTTAAAAAAGACATTTTGGATTATAGTGAAGAGGATTCATATTCATTGAATTCTCCGCGCGATTATCCATCAGGATTTATGCCAAAGAAAAGGCGAAAAGTTGAGGGTGATATTGAAAGAAAAGGTCGGTCGTATCGCTCGAGACATGATGAAGAAGCGGCTGGATTTAGTAGTGATGATGAAAAAGATAAACATGAGTTATTGAGACAAAATAGTGCGCACGCAGATTTATATTCCTCTAAATCACGAACGTTATCAAGTCTTGATGCAAGGCTTGAGAGTGCTGAATTTTCTTCTCATTCAAAAGAAGAGTCTCGTAGAGTGTCCTCAGGTAGTGACAATAATAAAGAGCATAGTGAACACAGTGGTCGCAGTCGGCGGCATAAAAAACGGGATAATCATATAACACCTCTAATTCCTCTAGGTGATGATGATATGCCAGACCCAGAAACCTCTGATCCGCGATTACCGCGTGGCAAATGTGAACGCCCACAGGTTTTACCATTGCCAGATTTTGCTCAATTTATTCAATTTTCTCCATTACCATCACCTTGTCATTCACCTGAACGTTATAGTGATCTCCCAACAGACAGTGGTAGGGACAAGTTACGCGAGTCTGCTGTAGATTCGGGTAATGCAGATGCGGCATATCAGTCTCCTTGCTTTTCACCTCAAAGTAGTAGTAGTAAGACTCATTCCCCGTCCCAATCTCCAAGTGGGTCGGGGTCGGACACTAAAGCTAACACAAACTCTGATAGTGGAAGTGGTGAGTTACCATTAGGTTTCCCCACTGACACTGAACAAATTGATCCTGATGTCAATAAAACAGACAGTTTAGATTCTGTACAAGATAAAACAAAAGTTCCAGAAGTATCAAAAGAACATGATGATAGTTTCTCTGATAATAATAGTGACAATGATAATTTAACATCAGATAATCTTTCAATTGAGGAAAGAATTCGGCAACTTGATGAAAAATGGAATAAAGCTCAAGCAGTTGCTGCAGTTACGCCAAAAGTTATTCCTGATGTGGACAGTATGGTGAACAATTCATCAACAACACCATCACCATTACTTACGCCCTACACAACAGCACCAGTTGTGACCACTGCAGCTTCAAGTCCTTCAACTTCAGCATTGTATTCAAAATATAGAATCCGTAAAAGGAATGACCCTTCAGGGTCAGGTACAGAAAAGAGTGATGGTCCGTCAGAAATTGTACAAACTGTCTTGTCTAAATCTAGTATTTTTGACCAGGACAGTAAGAGACTTGGACAAACAGATGAATCAGTTGAAAATAAGGACTTAACATCTACAAATGAGAACTCACCAAAATCTTATAGTGCATGGAATAAGGCTGAAATTAAAGAAAATCCAATGGTGACTGTGCCAGGATCCCTTTTAGACCGATTAGGTCAAGGGAGTAATGGCTCTTTCCCAACATTGACAGTGAATACCACATTTCCTAGTGCTACTAATGTGTCCATGAACAAAACAGACTCTATGAATTCAAGTATATACAGTTATGACAATAGGGCAGCCAAACAAGTAAGCCCACTACCAAGTTTGGATATACCAAGTGTTAATGATAAAAGCAGTCTGACTGTATCTTCCGCAGTTTTAGAAGATAATCTTTTACAAAAAATTGACTTTTCAGAAAAATCACCACGGTTAGAACGAAATGGTTTAAGTGGAAGTGATTTAGATTTAACAAAGACTGAAATTGAGAAATCACCAGTATTACCCAAATCAATATTGAAAAATCGAAGTGACTCGGACTTAAGTTTAACAAACAATTATTCTGACAAAATCAATCTAGATAATAATGTTCTCTCTTGTTCTAGTGTTGAAAATAAGTTTGAAAATGTTATTAAAGAAAACAGAATGGAATTAAATGACAAAAGTGAATTGATCAAAAGTGAAAAGAAAGATGACATTGATGATAATCACTCTAAACTTGTTAAATCTTCTAACTTGAATGGGGAGTCTAAAGATATCAAAGAGGAAAAATGTGATGATGTTACAGAACTGAACAAAAGTGGTGCTAAAAAGGAAGAAGCTGATAGTAATAAAGACGTTATTTCTCAATCCAGTGTGGATAAACATAGATATGAAAGTGCTACAAATGACACTGTTAAAACTGAAAGTAAACCATTAACTGTTGACAAAATGCATTCTGAAGGTATAAATCAGGACTTAAAATGTGAAAGGGCTGTAAAAACAGACATTGGAAATGTTCCTATTGTTAAAGTCAAAGAAGAAAGTGTTGTAGATTCAAAGAAATCTGAATCTGATACTGAAGTGAAAGCTGTGAAGCAAGAAGTGAAAATGGAAGTGGAAACCTCTGTTGAAAGCAAGAAATCTGATCAAAAAGCACAGTCCAGTAAAACACCAGACAAAGAGAAACATTCCAGTAAAGAATCAAGCAAATCTACAAAAGATAACACTTTTAAGGAACCTAGTCATAAGAAACAAAAGGTGTCCAAAGACAGTAAGGACAAGAAGTCTGACTCCAATCACAAGGACGAGAAACATAAAAAGAAAGAATCAGATAAGAAAGGTGAGTCTTCCCACAAGTCAAGCAGTGATAAGAAAGATGATAAACATAAACAGAAATCAAAATCAGAGAAAGACAAGAAAGATAGTGACAAAAAATCAAAAGAAAAAGATGAGAAGAAAGACTCTAAAGAAGAAAAGAAGAAAAAGGTTGAGAAGAAGGAGAAAAAAGATGACAAAAATGACAAAGAAAGTAAAGATGATAAATCAGATAAACATTCCAAAGAAAAAACTCACAGTAAAGACAGTGAAAGTAAAGATAATAAGGAGAAAAGTGGTGAAAAGAAAGAAAAGAGTGAAAAGAAGCATGAGAAAAAAGATGGGCACAAACATGACAAACATTTAAAATCTCCAGATAAGAAGTCCAAGTCTGCACATAAAGAAGAAGATGGCAAAGATAAATCTAAAGAAGCTTCACAAAAAGAATCCACACCAAAAGAAGGAAGCTCTAAAGATGTTGAGAAAGATAAATCAGACAAAGACAAGCCAGAAAAGAAAGGTGAATCTAGCAAAAAGGAACACAAAAGCTCTTCTCATAAGACAAAGAAAAATAAAGATGAAAGTAGTAAGAAAACAAAGGATGAGGGCAGTGAGTCTAAATCGGTGAAGGAAGAACCTGCTGAGACAAAGAAAAATAAGGATGATGAAAGTAAGAAAGTGAAAGATGACCACAGTGAGCACAAGAAGAAAGACGAGTCAAACAATAGAAATAATAAGGATTCTCCAGATAAAAACAAGGATGCCAACCGGAAAGAAAGTTCTGAAAGGAAAAGCTCAGAAAAGGTAAAAGATAAAAGTAGTAATGGCGAGAAATGTAAGGAAGACAAATCTAAGAGTAAAGAAAAGGAAAACAAAGATAAAGATCCAGACCATTCCAAATCTAAGAGTAGTAAGCCTCAATCTAGTACTAGTACATCAGAGTCTAGTGACAAACCAAAATCTCAATCAAGTGAAGCCAAAGTTGAGAAACCAAAGGCTGAAAATGAAAAAGAGGAAAGCAAAAAGTCAGAAAACAAGGAAGACAAGAAAAGCAAGGATGTTGAAATGAATAAAAATTCTTTTTCTCTGAAAAAATTTACTAAAGAATTGGATAGTCATAAGAAAAATCCTAAACCTGAAAAAGCAATCAAAAATAAAATTGAATCGAAAAAAGAAAGTAAGAAACCTGCTGAACCTGAGTGCAAAAATAAGAAGGATACTCCCAAAAAGAAAGACAAAGATCATCCTATGTATAATGGTTTGACAGAGGAAGATCTTGCTATCTTTGCTCAGTTTGCTGATGAGTCAAGTCTATCAATGTATGCAAAAGTTAAGAGACGATCAACTGAGAAGAAACTGCATCATGATAAAGAACATGAAGAACAAAAGAAACTAATAAGTGAATATAAGAGAAATCAAAAGAACAATAAAAAGCACAGTCTAAGTGATATAACAGAAAGTAGTGAAGTGAGCTCTGATGATGATAATAGACAGAAATCTAGTTCTGGACAGAAGAGTAAGAAAAAGTTTGCTTTCTCCTCAGATGACAGTGCCAGCTCTACTGACACAGGTGCAGACATTCTTCAGAAAAAGAACAAATCAAAAATGCAAATGAAGAAACCAAAAAGAATTCTTGATATTTATTCATCCGATTCAGAAGAAGAAGAAATGAGCAGCAAGACTCCTTCCAAAAAGTCGTCTTCAGGAAAGAAAAAGAAACTAGAAGTTCATAGAGAGCTTGAAAATAAATTTGAATTTGACAGTATAAGTGATTCAGATAACAAAACAAGTGCTACAAAACAAGCAAAAGTCAAAACAAAAACAAAGACAAATAAGAAACCTTCAAAGTCAACCAAAACAGAATCAAAATCTCAATCTAAGAGTGAGAAAAAGGATCTTAAACTACAGAAACCTAAAATTCAAAGGAAAGACCTCAGTTTTAAAGATTTATTTTCTGATGATTCAGATGACAGCATGGACTCTGATAGTGACAGCGATATTATGATGACTTCTAAATCCAAGAAGAAACCGTTTTTCAATAAAAATGATAAAAATAAGAAGAAGCTTCCTAGAGGCAGTTCCATCTACACCTCATCAGAAGAAAGTGATAGCAACAGTGAGGAGGAATTCAAACCAATGTCTCCTCCTAAAACAACAGTTCTACCAAAGAAAACTGAGAAGAAAATTTCTCCATTTAAGGATCATGACAGCGACTCATTTAATTCTGATATTGAAATTAAAAGTGAGAAAAACAAAAAGGATATCAAAAATAAACTGGAAAGAAAGCACGATAATAGTTTTGACAGTGATAACAGTCTCTTATCAGACCCAGAATTGCATAAAGTCAATAAGTTTAAAACTGAGCACACAGATAAGATTAATAACAAAATTGACATTGAGATATTTTCCAGCTCTGATGCTGAAAGAAAATTCAAGAAACAGAAGTCAAAGGAGAAAGCTGAAAAAGATATGCACAAGTTTAACAATAATAAAAAGCTGCATGACATCATTACTGATGATGGTAGGTTTGACGGTCTGACAAAGCTGGAAATGGCTAAAGTTTACTCTGAAACTGTGTATGAAAAGGACACTTTGTTATCAAACTTGACCAACAAAGATAATCTTCCACCAATTCTTGCAGATATTAACAAAGAACCTCTTTATAAATTGGGTATGGAATCAGTGAGAAATGATATTCCAAATTTGAAAGATATCACTTTTGATGAAAAGTCAGGGAAGATAAAGAATAAGAAACACAAGAAAGAAAATAAGAAGAAAAAGAAGAGTAAGGACAAACCTGGAAAAGAACTTTCAAAGGAGAAAATTGACAGTATCAGTAACAAGTGCTTTGAGCCAAAGCCAGAAATTCCATCTCAAATTGTTGATCAAGCAGAACAGTTGAAACAAGATTCTGATTTAGAAAACGCAAATGCAGTTAACAGAAATTTATTTGATGAAATGAAGACAATGAAATCACCTGAAGGTAAAAAGAACAAGACAAAGAAAGAAAAAGATGCAAGTCATAATATCAGTAGTAAACAAGTCATTGAAAAAGAAAAGCCTAAAGTGGAACGAGAAAGGTTATCGGATTCTGATTTTTTGTCCGATTCTGAAAAGAGAAAAACAAATCAGGTTGACAAATTATCTGTCACAAATAAAAAATTGGATCTCAAGAAATCTCCAAATTCTGATGTTTTTGATTTCCAGGAGGAAGAAAGTAAAATTGAACCAATTAAGGAGTCACATATGAAAGTTATGAAACCAGACTTGTATGTGGCCAGTGATCATGAGGCAGATACTGCTGCTAATGTGCCTGTTGAAATACAGAGTGTGGAAATAGAGTTCACAAGTGAAGAGCAGGATTATAAAGATGATGGAAATGTTTGTCCAGAAGTGGAGACAACAGAAATTGTAATTGAAGAAGCAACTGAAGTCAAAGTTGAAAAAGAGAAGCCCAAACCTAGAAAGCGGAAGGGACGTAAAAATAGTGGAAAAGAAGATCTTACTGAAGAAGCAGTTTCTAGCCTATCAAAGGAAAGCAAAAATCAAAGTGACATTCAAACTGAAGTTGTGCCATTTGAAGCTCCTGCTTCTAATGAGCAGGAACTTGTCATAGATGAGGGTGTTTCTCTACATGTTGAGGATGAAACTGATAAAGCTGTAGAATCAATTGTGAATGACGAAAATGATGAAACAGCCAAAGCAGTTGAATCAATCCTGCTTGATGGTATGCCAACATATGCCATCTCTGAACCTGTAGAACCAACACCAGAACTGGACACTAATTACTTACAGCCTGGGTTTGCCCCTGGTCTTCCGGCTGCCATTCCACAGGTTGGGACTGAAGTTGAAACTACCACTGCTAACACACCTCTCAAAGGAAAGAAAGGAAGGAAAGGTAAACGAACAAAATCAGGGCCGGCAGATACACTCCTTAATGAGAACTCAAATAAGCTCCCTGAAGGAAAATCATTTGATTTACTTGGGGATACTGCATTTGCTCCGGATATTACAAATCCTTTGGACCAAAATGACGATGATGATGATGGCAGATTGCAAATTGACTTTGATCCACCCAAACCAGAAACTAAACAGAAAAAGCCAAGAAAACCTAAACAAACTAAGGGCAACAAAATGAATGATGCTGCAGCTTTAGCTGCTGAAAATAAGCTTGATAACCTCTTTGGAAACTTCAATAGTAGAGGTCAGAATAAGGATGAGCTGAATAGGGACTCCCTTAGCAGTGAGAGTTCTGAACTTGATAGATCTAAGCATGAAGAGTTACTATTTATGGATAGGGAAGACCAAAGACATGATTCAGACATGATGTCACCAGATGAGAGATCTACATCTGATGACTTGACAAGTCCTGATGTTATCAAAGCAAAGCCAAAGAGAGGACGCAAACCTAAAAACAAAGATCCAGCTAGTGTTCCAATACCAAGAACAAACTCACCAAGGGCAACTAGGACATTGTCACCACGTTCTCCAAGAAGCAACTTTGATCCAAAATCTCCAGAACCAAAGTTGAATTGTCCAAAGAATTTGATTGTAGACGAGGGTAGTAAATCAAGTGCTAATGTGTTTGATTTTGATGATGATGAATTTGGTTCTAATAAAGTTGGTCAGATTCCCTCAACAACAGCACCAACTGTGGCAACAACCACGCCAGCTCCAAAGCAGCGAAAACCAAGACAAAAGAAAAAGGTTGAACCTGGCCTGCAGAGCCCAGAAAATCGTAGTATGTTTTCTAGTCCTGAGCACAGTGATAAGCTTATTATTGGAAGCCCCGACCCAAAAGATGTATTTAGTCCAGATCATAAAGTGCAATATAATGCATTTGAGAAAAAGACATTGTTTTCACCTACATTTCAACCAGAAGAACAAAAACTTGAAGTCAAAACTGCAGCTGATGATAAGCCACCAGAGCCATTATTTAAAGCTTTCTTCGAGGCAAAACCTAAAAATGAAAAGGATCCTTTACTTGTCAAAAAAGGCATGTTCAGTCCAAAAGAAGGTGAAAATAAGACACTAACAGCCGCACAAATAATGAGTAATGTAGATAAAACAATTGAGGATGTGTCTAAAGGGTTATTTGAAAGTACTGATGATGAAGCTACAAGTCATTCCAATGAAACAACACCTGTTCAAAAGAAACGTCAGTCAAGAAAAAGTAAAGAGGAGGATATAAAGTCCCCTCTTAAATCGCCAGTTCCAAAATCTCCTATGGTTAAATCTCCAATTGCTAACCACATCAACAGTCCACCACCATCACTACCAGTACCTCCTCAGCAACCTTTGGTCTTGCCTGGAATGGGAATTGGCCAACCAACAGCTCCAGCACAAATTGGAGAACCACAACTTGCAGGACATGTTGGAATGTTTGGTCAGATGTCACCACCAGTTTCATTAGCTGCTTGTCGTGCTCCAGGTCAAGCCAACTCTGCACCAGAAGCTGCCAAAAATGTGGAAGGTCCACAGAAAATTCCAGAAAAGATGCTCCCTCATTCTTCACCTGTTAAGACAACTGTGTTGCAATCACCAGTGAAATCTTCTGGTATTACTACAATAGCTCAATCTACAGCTGCTACTTCAGTCATGTCAACTGTCTCAGCATCTGTGGCACAAGATCTTAGAAAAGGTGATGGAGCAATGGAAGGAGTTCTCAAGAATGCCATGCCTGGTTTTCTTGTTCCTGGTATATCTGCGTCTACTGCAATGAATGTTGTACAAGAAATGACTTCTGCTGCCAGCACTGCACACACAACAGTAATATCATCAACAGCAACATCAGCAGTAGCAACAGTTACACCAGCTTCTGACTTAGCCAAAAGGCAGCAACAGACTGAGAAAATGGCACAAGAGCAGCAACTGCTGGAACAACAAAGGATAATGGAGCAAAAGTTGATAGAACAGAAACAAGTAGAGCTTCAGAAGCAACAAGAGCATCATGTGAAACTGAAGGAGATGGAATTGAAAAGACAGATGGAGCAGAAACATATAGAAGAACAGCACAAGAAGTTACAGGAACAGTTGAAGAACAAAGAGCTCCAAGAGATGAAAAATAAAGAGGAAGCTATGAAACAAGAGAAGGAAAAGAAGCGGTTAGAAGAGCAGTATAAGTTGTTACAGCATCATCAGGAGCAGTTGAAGCAGCTTCAAGCTGTTGTACCTGGTGTACCTCCACTAAATCAGCAGGGCATGTTGTCACCAGGAGCACTATCGAGGCCTAGACCAAGTTTACCATCTCCTAATGATGGCAAGAATGGACCAAGGCCACAAATATCTGCACATCATGCAATGCCACCAGGTCCCTTTGGTTTGCAGGTACGTCCAGGTCAATTCCCTCAGCATTTGACTCCTGCACAGATTCAAGCTATGCAGCAACATTTGGTACAACCTTTAGGTCAAGACAAACTACCAACCAATGCTGAATTAGCCCTCAAACATCAGCAGCTTCAACAGCATATTGCCTCTCAACAGAAGGCACAGGTTCAAGCCTTAGCAGAGCAAAAGGCTCAGATTGCTAAGCAGCAAGCAACACAGGCTAAGCAGAGTTCCCAACAAGCTGTACAAGGCAAACAGCCAGCTCATAGTGCCCCTGCCAAAACTAGTCCCGCAACAGCAGCAGCCAAGAAAGGTGTTGAACTACATCGACCTCCTCCCACAAGCCAGGGTCCAGGTATTCCACCTCTGCATGGCAAGGAAGGTGCACCATTACCAGGTAGCCAGGAAGCTGCCAACCAGCTTACTCAGCAGATTAAGCAGCAACTGGCAATGCAAGCTCAACATAATCAGGGTCACCCAGGCTCACATGGTGGACCACCACAAGCTCCACATGGCTTACCTGGTTGGCAAATTCCTCATATGAGACCAGAGGGTCCAAGACAACCAGGTCCACAAGGGCCTGTTACTGGTGAGGCTCGTACATCTATGCCTGGACCGGTGCCGGTTCTTGGTGGAAATCCACAACAGGTTCAGAGAGTGTCCCCAAATCCACCCACTAAGTCACCAACAGTTGCACAGACAGCACCAAACATGGTTCTCGGCTTCTCACAGCATCAAACTGCTGCACCTCGGGCACCAAGTCCAGCTGTTGCTAAGGTAACAGTTTTCTTTAGTTTACTTTTTAAAGAGCACACATATATTTTTCAGAAAACAGTTTGATATTTTCTTATTTTGAAGATCCCGTTTTTGCATTGCATATTATAATTACATGTATTTTGTATATTCAAAATGATCATTTTTACCACCATAAGAATTTAGAAATTAATAAACCTATTTCTTATTTTAGACTGCAGAAAGGCAAGGCTCAAATGGCAAGTGGGCAGGGACAGCAGGGGCACCTCCAAGACCCAGTCAGCCAGAAGTAAGACCAAGAGTGCCAACAACTGAGGCAGGTCCACCAGCAACTAGACCTGAGATATGGGGTATGTTATTAGACTTTTATAAACTACGTGTATTGTATGTGTCCATTGGCCTTTTTAGCTTATACATGTTTTGAATTAGATGGTGTGCATTATTAAGCAAATCAAATGTCAAAATCAAAACTTTTTACAACAAGCTACAGAACCCTAGTTTTAATGAAACATAATGTATCTTTGTGTCTGTTAACAGGTGTAAATGGACCACCAGGCTCCACCCCAATGAATATGAACCCGATTCCCAGACCAGCTCATCAGCAACCACCATCTGCCCACCAGCAGCAGCCCGACACCTTACAGCTGACCCGGCCTCCTGCGCCAGCAGAGAGGGGAGGCAAGGATAAATTCATTCAACAGCAGCAGCATATTCAAGAATTGCAGAGGCAGGAATTGTTGAAACACCAGGAATTGCAGCGGCAACAACAGCTACGGGACCAGGCTCTACACGCTCAGGCTCAGAAGGAGGTTCAGATACACAAGGAGCGGGAAGAGAGGGAGAAAAGGGAAGCCGCTCAAGCAAATCTTGCGTCACAGAGTCAGGTTGATCCAAGACAGTCTCCCGCTGTGAGAATGACTTATCCCTTTGTTGAACCAAGGCCACCAAGTCGTGATGGCGGGAAAATGCAACAAAGTCCTGCCATTGTTGATCCACGAGACCCAAGATTCCCTCAGCAGTTTCCTGGTCATCACCCTGCTGATTTACGCATGGGCTCCTCGCAGTCCAGTGCTTTCAGTCCGGCTGCTGGAAACAGTGGTGATCCTACTCATATGTACTCCCAAGCTGAACTTCAGAGGCTTCAAAATGGTCTTATTCCTGCATATCCACCAGGTCTTATGTTGCGTGAACCCCATTTGATTCCAGGACATGCACCATACATGCTTCCAGGACACCTAGCTTACATGGCCCAACAGATGGAGCACCAACAGCACCTGGTTGATGGTCGTCCACCATCGAGGGGAACTAGTAGACCACCCTCAAATCAGCCAGTACATACAGTTTCCCCCACCCAGCACACTCCAAACGATCAGCGCAACCAGGGTAGAAATCAAAATCAACAAGGAAATGCTCCGCCTCCATCCAGCAGAGATCCTCCTCACCCAGGAGATGGTAGTTTACTGAGTCTGTTGCAGCGCTATCCAGTTATGTGGCAAGGGGTTCTTGGTCTGAAGAATGACCAGTGTGTAGTTCAGATGCACTTCATCTCGGGATTTCAGCCTCTGGTAAAGATGTCATTGCCCCAGCAAGCTCCAGATGGAACTGTGCAGCCACTCCGTATTGCTCAGAGAATGAGGTTAGAGCAGGCTCAACTAGAGGGTGTTGCCAAACGCATGCAGGTGTGCTTTTGCCAAATTTCCTCATTTAAACATAAATGATATTATCAAAACTCTCTGAAAACGTTATTTCACAGGAAAAATTACATTATTTTAATTGCTTACTTACATTAACATATTGTTAATACTTTCTTAAAAGATACTTTGACAGATAAAAATAAACCCACTTTAGTTGAATTACACATAGATTTAAAAGTAAAAATCTAAAATTTTGTCATGGTGATATATTATTAACACACCATAATCTGTTGTTTCAGATGGAGAAAGATTATTGCATGATGCTTGCTTTACCATGTGGACGCGACCACACAGATATTTACCAGCAGACGCGAGCCATGTCAACCGGATTTATCCAGTACTTACAGCAGAAACAAGCGGCTGGTATAGTCAATGTTGCTGACCCAGGATCACAACAGGTGAATAATTCTAAAATATATTTCTATTTTAAAGTGGTTCTACCGTGGTTGAACCAGAATCGGTTGAACCAGAATTCGAGGAATCTTGTTAATTTATGGCAAGTTAATATAATCTGTATGTAGACAAAGAAATTGCTATTGTCGTCCGCAACATTTCTATAATTTTAATCTTGATGTTTTATTAAATAAATCTGTATGATTCAGCCCATTTCATAAACATTTTGTAACATTTTTAAGCATTTTTGTATTGGAATGGTGTTGTTGTTATAATAGAATTTTCATTCTGCTTATTTTTATTGATTGTAAAATCGGTTATAAAGAAATTATTCAACAAGATATTTCTGGTTTATATTTCAGCCTGCATATGTGGTTCATATATTTCCACCATGTGATTTCTCTCAAACGACCTTGTCTCGACTTGGATTTGACCTTTTATACCAGGTCAAGGACTTAGCCCATCTTATAGTCATCATAGCAACAGTTGCTTGAATACAAAGGTCACAGTGACCTTGTTTCTCAGTGTAAGTCAGCAACATTGATAGAGGAGGAGACGCCATACTCAAAATCTTTTTAAGAGATTTATTTGTTGTGTTGTTGCTAGGAAATAACCATATAAATGACGACAATATTCAAGGATATGACAGTTACGCAGAATTGAATAGCATACATTTGTGTTAAAAAACCTGTGTATTTTAAAAATAACCCCGGATTTGACTTTATATATAATATATATATACATGTATATCTATATATACAGACCCAGAAATGAATTAATTTGATATATGTTGCGTATAATAGTATAGTGAAATTAATAATGTAGATTTGTACAGGATTATTATACAATGTATTCATGACACTTACGCTTAACACAACAGCTGTGTAGAGTTGGGAAGGAGGCTGTTGTGTGTCTCTCCCTTTAAACAAGTGTTGTCTATAGTTATTGTGCATAATTACTTAAATGCATAAAAAAAAATATGTGTAATGGAAATATTGGCTGTTCTTTGTGGAATATAGTTAAACTAACACTGGAGTAACTAGTCGGTAAATTAGTGAAAAAAAACAACTTCGATGTTGTCACCCCCTGAATCGTTGTGTTTTTATGTACTTAATAACTATTGTGCTGTGTGTTTAAAAAAAAAAGACGCAACAAAAATCCACAAAAAATAACGACTGCAGTGATTGCTAGTGAACTTGGACTATATTTGTGTATTCATACGCTATTACACGTGCATGGAATTACTTTCTTTGGCTGAATTACTTTATAGTCAATATGTGCGTTGTTGTTTTTACTATTATTAATGAAATGTGAAAAAAGTGTGATGTGCGAAATTGACGGTCACTATGCTGCAATTTCTATTGTTATTTTTCTCTCTTTATACTATTTTTTATCTTGGATTTACTGGTTATTTTAGTTACACTATGGATATACCTGTGTTATTTAGACAGACCACAGATTTGATTGGAATTATAACGTTTTGAGGGGTATTTTTTTCTTCATGGTGATGAAATGGATTTAATTGTGGTGATTTTTTTCTTATTATTGAGTGACTTACACCTGTTACTTGGAGTTTGCATATTACACTGCCAGATTGAACTCTTTGTTGGAATTGTTTATTATATATATAAGTGTTGAATCATGATTTGAATTAAATTAACTATATAGTGCTTGATGATTAAAATGATAACGGTCTTGAATTATTTTCTTATCATGTAGTTTATAAGTCCTTTTTCATTCATTTTTAGGACTTTTCATTCATTTTTAGGACTTTTTTTTTTTTTCTTTCTTCAATTTCTGGATTTTAAAATCATTTTCTAGATATATTTACATACACATTCTTTATAAAGCATTTGCACTAGAAAATAGATGTTTCTGACAATTTTGATTCACGTTTTTAGTGAACATAGATACTATGTGCTGGACACGATATGGTTTTTTTTGCCCCCCTGTTCAGACCAATTTTTTTTGTATCATTATTATTGCTTATTAAAATGTTTTTCATTGCTGTAGGACTTTGTGCTATCATTTGAACCGCTTTCTGGCGGGGCTTTTTTCACATCATTCGATAGAATAAATAATTGTTATTATTAAACATAGTTCTTCTGTACCTACATGTAAATGGCAGCTAGGATTCGTAAAAACATTTTTTTGTTGATATATTTGTTAAATTTTTTTTTTGCCGTGTAACACATCAGTAACAGTATTACATTATTTGACATAAAATTGTGTATGTGTTGTGTACCTGACATATACGTGTATTGTGTGTGCACTTAAGAATACACAAAAATGTATGTTGAGTGCATATTTAAGGGAAATCATTAATGAGGACTAATTCAGTATGTTTAAAGATGATTTTGAATAGATCTTTATACTACTTCACATTAAATAGAGAAAAAGGAGGAAAAAAATTTCGACAAAAAGCAACACTTAATAACCATTTTAAATAAATATTGTATCGGAATTCCTAAAATCAGTTGGACACAGATTACTTTACCATTCACACAAAAGAAGATGTCCATGATATTTATACCATTTTCCATCACTTTTTAGAAAGAGTTTTTAAAATCATAAAAAAAAGTTATTTGCGCAACAAAAATGCTGAGTAAGGTAAAATAAATATAATCATCATTGTAACAAAAAAGAGAAAATACAAGGTGTTTTGTAATGTAATTGTCCATGTATTATTTTTTGTTTCGTGTAAACAAAGACAAAACATTTTAATTTGTCTTGTGATGAAAAGCAAGGTTACTTGGATTTCATGCAATCATATAAATGTATCACTCCGAAGAGGGTTGTTAAGGATTTAATTTCTCATTTATTCATATGTTAATGCAAAAAAATGGCCAAAAAGATGTGAAAAAATAAGATAAGATGAAAGACAGTGGCTATTAAGCTGTAGTTAATCAGTAAAATGAGATAATTAATGCTTCAGTTGAATGAAAAACATTGAAATATTTGAAAATTTGATGTAAAACTATTGCAGAGTCTGGTTGAACTACCCAAGACCAAGTCATTAAAAAAAAAAATACTAAAAAAGATTAATTAATTTTTATGTTACATAAAATGGTACTTGGTTATTTTTTATTAAGTTATCTTATTTCTTGTACCCTTTCTTGTATAGTGTTTACAATTTGAAAAAATTCAATAAATTATTCATAGAATTTATTTTTTTAGAATAATTTAAAATTTGTCTTTGCCCAGTTTATAATTTATTTTTTTACAGCTTTTGTTACATTTAAGGCAAATATGGTAAATAGAAGTTAAATTCAATTGTATGGAATTCACAAGGTAACCTTGTTTTATCATTAATATTGTTTACACAGTTAATGAGTAGAAAAGCATGGTATTTATCATGTCTATTTGATTTTGTTTACCCAACAAACTTTGTTAATGATACACTATTATACATTATATTATAGTAAAGTGTTATGTGTACATACGTTGTATTTTTGTAGAAAAAAAGGTAAAAAAAAGAAAATTGTGCAATGAAAACACAACTTTATGGACAAATTATTTTGATCTCAAACTTTTGCTTTTGAGTGATTGAGTGAAAATAGGATCATCTTTGTCTGTTATTTCTTCTGTCCATCATCGAGTGAAAGAATGAATGATCAATACTTTGTTTATTGAATTGGTAGAAATATTTTCTTCTGTTTTTTTTTTCTTCTTCAGTTTTAAATTAGTATAATTATGGGTGATTTTTTTTTCTTCTGATTGTTAAAAGATCGGGTTTATTTTTGAAAAAAACAAAACATTTTGCTTTAAATTGGAAGCCATTTTCACAATATATGCGAAATAGACTTTATTTATTAACTTTTTGAAATTGTTGTTAGTTTCTTTTATATTAGAATTTTTATATAAATTAGAATTGTTTGAATATTAAAACTGATCCTATGGTCATATTTTAGGAGAAAGAAATAAAAAGACAAGGGCTATGTGATAACGTTTCTAATTTATTCATGTTTATTTTTTTTTCTGTGATAACTAAATTTTGTTTCATTGGAGTAACTGATGTTTTGTTACCATAGAAACTGAATATTGGTTGCCATAGTGATGAGTATTTTTTTTGAAAATCATTGAACTGATTAAATTGATATAGGGCATAGGAAGCTGGAGGTCATGGGTTGTGTGTCGGGGAGGGGGAGGGGTTATGATCAGAAAATATTTACATTAATGTTGCATGAAATTATAAAAATCAAGAGATAAAATTTCAAGAAAAGTGCTATCTGTTTTGTATATATTGAGGATATGGCATACTTTTTTGTAAGCTTTATTATATTGGGACTATTTTTGTTCATTTTATTACAAAATTGTTAGTCGGATTTTGAAATTATTCTATATCCACTTTTCTATTTAAAGAAAAATTTTAAGATTTTAACATTTTTTTTCTTTCTTTTACATTTCTCTTTTTTTTTTCTCCCTACTGTTCTATTTCATATTTCGTCTACATTGTTACTTGTTATTTCATATGTCACTTTTCTATGTAATGCCCCTCATTTTCCCCATTTATTATACATGGCATCGTATATGTTTTTGTGTAAAGTCACTTAATGTGTAATACCATTGTTACCCCTGGTTATAAATGTGTATATTTGATTGTACATATGTGTATATATTAATGCAGAGCTATCAAGTTTATGTATATATTGTATATATATGACATTGTCTATGTATATATAAGCCAACAGCCTATTGTGATCTTTAATCCCAAGAGGAACATTTCTATAGAGATAATCTAGGTTTCCATGGCAACAGGTCTTGGATATTTTCTTTAATTATTTTAGTTTGGGGAAAAAAAAGCAAAGAACGTCTTTCCTGCGCTTATAAGGGAAGCTGAAAACTGTCTTTTTTCAGTTTTAATTAAATTTAAGATACAGATGTGTTTAATGATGGGTTGAACTCTTATTTAGATGTATTGTCACCAGACGATATTTTTTTGTCTTTTTTAGAATTTTGTTATTTATGAAATGTTCAGAAAATTTCTGAAATTGGTTGCTATGGTGACCGTTGTCATGTAGGAAGTTTGTTTCTTCCTTGGTCTTGTCTCACTAAAATCTGATTAAAATGTTAACAAATATATCATGTTTTGTTGTCTCTTTTGTCATGGTGTATAATGATATATATAGAGATTTCAGAAAAGAATGAATGAAATGAATGTGTCTAGCTGCGGAAACAAATATCTCAAATAGAGCATGCGGGGAAACGTCACTGATAAGAATAAAGTCCTTTGCTGAAGTTTGTTTTAAAGTACCGGAAAGTAACAATTGACAAACAGAGTAAATATTGTCCTAAAAACTTGGTGTTATTCAATAGCCCCTCTGAACTTGGCATGATGAAAAAGTGCAACAAGAATTCTGACTTCTTTGCATAAATAAATGTTACACATGTAAAATCGAGTGTGCTATTAAACCAAATGGGCATTTCTTGTTTTTTAGCATTTCCAAATAACTGGTCACATTTCCAGAACGCAAACAGGCTTACTATATAAAGTGTTAATAGTTTGACAGTATCACCGCGATCATGTTGAGCTCTTCAACAAAGACCGCCAGATGTTCAAAGCGTGTCTGCACGAGAGCTGTTCTGAACCAAATTTGCACAGAACTTAATCACCTGTAAAATATTGGTCCATCATGCTTTACAGAGCTATGACCCCTGAAACGGCAATAAAATGCTCCTTTGAGAACCAAAATATGTTTTCTTGTCTACATGATAGCAATTTAATGTTTTATTTATTTGAAAAAAAAACTTGTACGTTTTGAAAGGCTGACTAAAGTTACGAGCCCTTAATGGGCCAGAATAGATGCCCAAAATAGGCGTCTTCTTAAAATGGCAAGTCCAGAAGTCTTAGTTTTTGTATTTTTCGGTGGTACTCTTCAAAGTTTGTTAAAAAATAATTGCCCTATGATCAGTAACGATATTCACTAGTAAAACTAAAAAAAATATATACACGTATTTCTTTTGGACTCGATATTTGACAAAATTTTGTGGTCTTCTAACACTCGTAATGTCACAAACCTTTTAGATTCTGTACGTAAAGTGTGTACGTTATGTTATATCAGTCAATCAAAATCGCATTGATCCAGGATTGACGTAACTGGTGGGAGAAAATGGTGTAATTCTGCTTAGAAGGAGGTAAATAACCACATTATCAGGAAACTCAACACCTTCATTTACGTATTATTGTTTTATATTGAGGGTCACCGTACTTTAACTAGTACTTTAAGAATGTTTGTTTTTATTTAAATTTCAACTCATAACAACAGCGGCCTGAATGGAGCCCATATTGTCAAAAGGCAAATGGTTTTCAGTACACTGTGCCATTAAGGCCATTCTATTACAGTATACACCTATCAAATGACACTAACATTATCGCAAATGCTGCTTACTCAGAGACATCGGGTAAAGAAAAGATTGAGTTATACCAAATACGTTTCGCTTTACATCAATTTCTACTTTATACAGTGAAAGAAACCTCGTATTAAGTATCATTTAATTTATCATTTCGCTAAATATATCCCGATAGTGCTACATGTTATCCCTAAGGGACAAACCTTATTAGTCTGTCCATTTTCTATTCCAGTCTTGTTAGCGAAATCTCGTCTGTTCCAATATTGAAAGGTCACCTCATTAATGTCTTGTATTTTATCTTATCTGAACGCTGTAAAATACTGTACGTTGAAGGATGACAAATTAAAACCATTTTCTTAACTAATGACTTATGCATATTTAGTCCGGGCTTTATCTTGTAGTTTACATAATGGAATAGTTGAAACTTATTGAGAATATTTCTAGTCTCTTAAATGGCGTGATGGGTTTCAGGTTTTGTCCTGTTTTAGTTTTCTGCAACTTTAACATCACTGCACCCAGCAATCGATTGATTAACATGCGATAGTCCCAGACATGTGCAATGGATGCATAAGGTGTAATCCTAGACTGCCTTGGTTAATCATTCTATGCCATGGTTGGTCACTCTCTACCATGGTTAATCACCGCATGTAATGGTTAATCACTCTATGCCATCATTAATCACCGTATGTCATAGTTAATCACTTTATACCATGGTGAATCACTCTGTGCTATGGTTATAATCACTCTGTGCCATGGCTAATCGCTTTATGTAATGGTCAATCACTCTATGCGATGGTTTATCACTATGCCACGATTAGTCACTCTACACCATGATTAACCATTCTATACCATGGTTAGCACTCTATACCATGGTTAAGAACTCTATATACGCCATGGTTTATCACTCAATGAGTTGATAAGATTGTCATTACAGCATGCTGACTTGACAATTTGGCTCCATCCCATCGTTCGCTCAAAGAGCTAAGACATAGTCGAAATACTCCGGTTTATTCTGTATTAGATCTATAATGAAACAATTATATTAAAGTGCTATACTTTAGCTCTGTCGCAATTAAACATACTCTAGCACTTTTGTTGTTGTTGTTGGTGGTGATGGTGGTGGTGATTTAATTGATCTAGCATATGACGCCTTTGAATTTTGTTTTCAATTTTGCCTAATATTTCTTTATATATAACACATTCAAGCATATTTCAAATCATTACACTATAGTGTCATACTATGATACATGTACATTGCACATGTAAATGTTACGTTTGTTTGTTTTGGGTTTTACGTCACATCGACACAGTATAGGTCATATCGCGACGTTCCAGCTTTACTGGTGGAGGAAGACCTCAGGTGCCCTTCCGTGCATTATTTCAGGCACGAACGGGCACCTGAGTAGAACCACCGACGTTCCGTAAGCTAGCTGGATAGCTTCCTCACATGAAAGAATCCAAAGTCCCTGTCGGGATTCGAACCCACAGCGGTGAGGGGCAAGTGATTTGAAGTCAACGACCTTAACCACTCGGTAAATGTTACGTATATTTATCTATGTATTCTAAGTACATGTAATTTTGTGTTTAAATTTTAAGGCAAGATTTCATGCGTGAATCTAGAATTTAAGATTCAGATTGGTACGTTATAATTTAACAAGAGGGCCATGAAACAACTGCTTTTCAGTGTTGAAAATAATCCATTGTCAATATTTTCTAACAGTAAATTTGAGCATAGAATATCTTTAAACAATAATTTGAAGAAATGCCATGACCTGGGGCATTTAAGCTTTAGCTTAAACGGGGCCAATCAAATTAATATGAGCAAACTTGATAAAAGACTACCTAAGATTAGTAAGAATGCTACAGACAAAGTTTGGTGATCATCCATCAATTATTTCAGTAGGAAATGATGTTCAAAGGTTTTTCTATTTTTAGCTTTAGTGGCCCCTAAAAGGGGCCAATCAAATTAATATGAGCAAACTTGATAAGAGACTACCTAAGAATGCTACAGACAAAATTTGGTGATCATCTATAAATTAATAAGTTCTCTAGGAAATGATGTTCAAAGATTTTTTCTATTTTTAGCTTAAGCGGCCCCTGAAAGGGACTAATCAAATTAATATTAGCAAACTTGACTACCCAAAAATGCTACAAAGTTTGGTGATCATCCATCCATTGGTTCTGTAGAAGAAATTGTCTCAAGTTTTTTTCTGTTTTTAGCTCCAGAGACCCCTAAAAGGGGCCAATCAAATTAATAGGAGAAAACTTGACAAAAGACTACCCAAGAATGCTACAGACAAAGTTTGGTGATCATCCATCCAATTAGTTCTGTAGAAGGAGACATTTAAAGGTATTTCTATTTTTAGCTTTAGTGGCCCCTAAAGGGGGCAAATCAAATTAATATGAGCAAACTTGATAAAACACTACCTAAGAATGCTACAGACAAAGTTTGGTGATCATCCATCAATTAGTTCTGTAGAAATAGACGTTTAAAGGTATTTCTATTTTTAGCTTTAGTGGCCCCTAAAGGGGGCAAATCAAATTAATATGAACAAACTTGATAAAACACTACCCAAGAATGCTACAGACAAAGTTTGGTGATCATCCATCCATTAGTTCTGTAGTATAAGCTGTTTTAATGTAATTCTATTTTTAGCTCTGTTGACCCCTTAAAGGGGCCAATTGAAATTATATGAGCAAATTTAAGTGCGACTGTCACAAGGATGCTACAGACCAAATTTGAAGTAAATCTGCACAGCAGTTTCCGAGAAGAAAACGATTGTTGACGCATGACGACGGACGCCGGAGCATCCCCCTTTGATACTAATAGCTCACCCTGAACCTTCGGTTCTGGTGAGCTAATAAGGTTAGATGTCGCTAAATTGGAGATAATTGTTATGTTCCTATATGTTCTTGACTATGGTGGCACATTACTATTTTTCTTAATTAATAGTACTCTGTCAAATACCAGTCGAAAATTTCAATTCATTTCTGAAACTGTTGTTCAAACTGGAAATACGATTTTATCTGGCGCTTTCTTTGTAAGAAGACAAAAAAAAACAAAAAAAACTTACAATGGTAATCTCCGCTCTCTAATCGATAACAAAATGATTATATTTTTTCTGAGAAGGAGGATAACCCAATATTTTATCCTGTTTTACATTATGACGTAAATACAAATTTGTTTTTTAGCGCCAGTTTAGAATGAAAGGAAGGTGAAGGGTATTTCTCATTTACCTTCAAACCTTAAATACTAGAAAATGTCACTATGGTGATTTGCTCATCATTTAGAGTGGATTAAACTTTCAACAATTTTGTGTGTACATTTGTATGTATGTGAAATATGCTGCAAAATATTGTACTTTTTGTTAATAGAAGTTCCTGACAGTCCGTCCGTCCACTTCTCTTTCATCTTTCATTTCCGATACATTGTACATTTAAGTCAAACTGCTTACAATAAAACCCTTAAAGGTACATTATACCTTAGAAATCAGTAAAATTTCAATTATTGAATAAGGGCAAATATGTGTTTAAAATGTTCTAATAATGTTCAATAATGTTAAACAACTGAGTAGCGCTGAATGTACAATCATGTGTCATCAAGGTTATAAAATGTAAACAAAGTACTATTTTGACTTAAAACAAAATGCTAAACCACTATTATTGTACCAATTGACAAAGAGCAAAAGGAGAAATGGATAGTTTATCTATATGGTCAATGAGTATTTT